TCCTCAAGCACTTCCTCAAGCACTTCCTCCTCAAGCACTTCCTCAAGCACTTCCTCCTTAATCACTTCCTCAAGCACTTCCTCAAGCACTTCCTCACTAAGCACCCTGATAACCTAGGTCTAGCCCAGCTACACCTATGCGATTAACAAATATCACCAATGAGCGCCCGACCCAAATTACTGTCACTGGCCCAGACGACGCACATTTAGCTGTTGAGAGACAACCCGGGATCTGTAAATGGAACCATAAGGAACCGAAATCGGAATCAGACATAGGCAGGCATGTGCGCCAAGCTCATCATTTCAGTAGAGCCCGCAAGGCACAGGATGCAGAAATTTGCCCCCATTGCAAAAAATCGCATTCAAAAAAGAACCAGTGGAGATGCCGCCCGAAGACTGGAAAACAAGGAGAGCAATTCCCAGTTGATAGCCAACCTTTAAATGCAACTTATCCCTACAATACCCCCCAAGAATATAAAGAATGGAAAAAGGAGGCTCTGGAAGATCTCAAGAGCAGATTCTGCGCTGGCGAAGAAGCAATCACCCATGGTGAACAAACTGCCAAGAATCTTTATTCTCATCTGGTTGTCGCTTCACACCCCAACACAGATGAAAGCCAAGGCGATATAGAAATCCGTTTTTGCACCAGCGATGAGGATTGCGAAAAGGCTGTGATCGATAGCAAGGTCCCAATCATCGCTGAAAATCAGCAGCCTCTTCAATGGAAATCAGACGAACTACCTATCAAAGAAACATTCGATCAGTGGAGACATGATGAAGATCTCATGGTATATGTGCAGCCCTCAAGCCGTCCCAGACTAAAAGAATCCTACGAAAAGCGCACGATAAGGGAGGTCGCTGAGAAATTTCTAACCGACGGGACGCCCAAGGACCCATGGAATTTGCTAGATTGTCGATGCCCGTTCCCAAACGTTCACCCGAAGTTCCTAGTATCCTATCACTGTCGATTGCTTCATTTCATTCAAGATGGTAGCCTTAAAAACAAATCCGCTCAAAGAGACGCTGCATCAACGGTTGAGGTGTGGCAGTATAAAATGTTTGAGAAAGGCATGCTTATAGGCCAGGCGGGGGCGAATTCCGACTTTCATATTGACAGTAACGGTTGGGGCACCTGGATCACAGTTCAGCAAGGGAAGTTGGGATTTTTGTTCATGGCTAATTTCTCGAAGGAAGACAGAGAGGCTTGGAGAAAGGACCGTGGGTATAATAACGGCAAAGTTCGGTACGTGGTTTTGAGACCAAAGCAGACCATCTGGTTCCCGCCCGGGACCGTACATGCTGTTGTTCGATTGGAAGTCACGGTTTCCATAACCGGCCACATTCTGAGGTCGTGTGATATCACGATTTGGTTGGAAGTGTTGGAGACACAGCGCGACGACCCTAAGATAACCAACGAATATATGAAGGATGAAAACACTTTGCGTATGCTGGATAGCGCTCTTAATATAATTAAGAAACGAATACAGCATGGCGACGTTGATGCGATTGGAGGATCAGAAGAAACCAAAAGAAATGTAGCAACGATAGAGGTGAGATTGCATCCTGCCTTGATGATGGGTGTTACTAACTTGAATGCAGATACTGATTAAGGTAATTGAGCGTAAAAAGAGGAATAAAAGAAAGAGAAAAATGATGGGTGTCACTAACTAGAATGCAGATACTGATTAAGGCAATTGAGCGTAAAAAG